GTGGATGATTTTATTTCTCACTCCTGTCCTTGTTGGAATCAAGATAAGACTCTTATCACCATCCACCTTCTCAGATAATCTATTGCTTTTCTGGAGAGTGATGAAACTGTTAAGGCCCTATCTCACCGAGCGGCCAAGTTTGCGAGCATGTAGTAAACGTTTTCTTTTCTTTTTTTTTTTTCCGTCAGGGTTCGTTCAAAGTCGCACGCGGCCACAAAGGCGTTCACCAACAATTTTAATGGTGTCAAAAAGTTTTTGTTGTCACAAAGAAATATGGAACATGTTCAAAATTTGAAGGCGTCAAGAAAAAAACTGTTTCAGAATGTCTTTTCAACTGTTTTGAAAGAACACGGACAAAAGAAAAAAAAACATTTCCTTGTTCGCACACGTTGGCAAAACTTCGCCGTTCCGTGAGATACGGCCTTGAAGGTGTGGCCTTAACCAGGACAACTGTATCTAGAAAAGATGAAGAGATGACAAAGGTACAGCTGAGTGGCTAGTGACTGCTACAGATGGACACAATGAAACTATCCAAATTGATAAGAAAAGCACACCTCGCCATTAAGTGTGTCTGTTATATGTAAAAACAGTGTCAGTTTGTATGGGCATGTATCTGCATTGGAAAAGAATGCCTGTATCAATTTCAGGAATTAATTTCAGCATTGCCAATCCACTGTTGCAACTGATCTACTAATTAGAACTGCCACTGGAAATGATCAATTTGCAAAAAAAAACAGCTTTCGTGTCATGTAAATGTCATCATTTTACACCTTTAGATGCTAAGAGGGGTTTTCACAGCTCCTGCAAAAGAAAAGTAGATACTGTGAAAAAGAAATAGTTTGTCTGTCTTGAGAAATCAATTTTGATTTGGTTTCAGTTAATCCCAGCCATCCATTTTCTTTAGTGCTTGTCCAAATTAATTTTGCCAGTGAGCTGGAACCCATCATAGCTGACTTTGGGCGAGAGGCGGGGTACACATTGGACTGTTCAACAGCTCCCTTTCACAGTCTCTTATTTATTGAGAACAAGATGGAAAAACACACTGAAAGAGTTTTCCCCTCATTGAAATCACTTCTATTGTAATACATTTATTTTCAAAAACAGAAAAAAGGAATGACTTAAAAAAACAAAAAAAAACCCAAAAGCATTTTGCATCATTTCATAATGCATTCATTCAATTCAGTGTAAAACACTGCTGGTAACCATCTTTCATCCCAAGTGCCAGTTAAGGCAGATGCCTTTTTAGGCCTGATTGGGAATATTCTCATTCCTCCATGTCATTTCTTTCTTATGGCATTGAATCCACCGCAACTGGGCTGCTCCGTTTGTCTTAGAAGACGTTTCGCTGTTCATCCGAGAAGGCTTCATCACGATGTGTCATTGAAAACATCACCAAAAAACCCTTCCGCAAGCATCACCAATGCTGCGGTGTCCTTCACCAAGAGATTCTTGACGATACCGACAGAAGTTTAGCTTCAGTGTCCAATTGCATATACGCTTGACAAACGAATATGTTGGATATTTTGATCATATATTGTGCAGCTTTCTAATCTTTGAAAATCTCCTCCTCACCACCACCTCCAGCTGCCAGAGCCCATTTTTCTTATCATAGCGTGTCGCCTTTTAGCTGCAGTGGTGGCTGCATCACAGCAGAGCTTGAAAAAACTGACACAAGGAAATTGTAGTTCCTGTCCACATGGCGTCCAGTTTAAAAAAAAAACCGCACAAGCACTGAGCGAGAGGAGCTCTCGTAGCCTATCTTTGGATGCATGTAGCAATCGCCCACATAAATGTCCGCTTGGCTCAGCTCTGATCACATAATTGCTTTGTGCACACCTCACCCACACACACATTCAAAAGAGCGCACACACACGGAAGCATGCAGAGCGATTACACACTCCACAGCTCCACACCCCTGGTCCTAACACATACATGTACTGTGCACAAACAAAATCATGAAGCGGAGGTTTGTAGCACACAGGTAGGCCTGTGATCAAACCAGAACACGTATTGACAATAACAAACTAGTGTTACCGGCACACCACCTACACAGTCGATTTATTTTGTGAGTGTATTAGAGACCCACACAAGCAACCAAACGGAAAAGGTGAAAAGAAAGAAAGGAAGCTAGCCACACAGCGCATGGCAGTGTGACAGAGGATGCGTACATGGTGAAGGTCAACTGGTGCAGCAGGTGAAGTAGTATATGCACAAAGTAACATCTTTCTAAAACAGAACGGAAACATCAACTTAACCTTTCCATTTTGTGTTCTTTCCATGCCATGACATGCCTGCCGGAGGCTCAATTAAGATCCCGACTTTGAAACATGAAACACCTTTGGAGAATGACAAATCTGTAACATTAGGTACAATATACAGAAACTCCGCAGGGGCACATTCTTCCATGTGATGAAGTCAGAAAAAGTGCGGGGCTGCGCATTTTTGTCAGCTGCGCAGATTCCCCTGTCGGCTTAAGTATGCTACTTACGCACCTTCCTGAAATGGACTCGCTCTGGTTGGAGCGATCTTGACATCAGGGCGCGATGCTGACAAATCTGTCTCCCATAGACTTATGAGTCTTTTGGCCGTACCTCTTGAAGGCAACACATCAGTTTGTACATTTTGAGTCATTTCACAGCTGCTGACAGCGAGTGATGTCTGTCACCGGCCGACTCGACCGATTCATTCTGACGGGGTTGGGGTTGTCACACCTGTCGCACAAATGCTCATTGACTGACCAAGAACTCTAAAGGTGTCCCTACTACAATACAATAACGGCCCAACGTCAACAACACATCTTATTGGTGGAAAAAAAAAGGATCAGCACCGGTTGGACTTTTTCCTTCACCTCTGAGGAACATTTCCGCATGCTGATAGAACTTGGGGTTGGAGCGCTGATCACAAACAATACAGCCATCATAATAATGGGCCGTGAATTTATAGATTTTTTTTGGGGGGGGGGGATAATTGATGCACCACGCGCACAGTGCGTTGCTTGGCAACTTGGGCAACTCTCAATGTGCACTGTCTCCTGCACATTCCGTTATGAGCGCAGTATTAAGATTAAATTGCTTGTATTGGATTGATTCAAAAGTGAACGGAAAATAACACGCTCCTTCAGAGTAGGCTGCTGAGGGGCCACGTACACGCCATGGGCCACAACTTTTGGATCCGCAATGTTGATTCAACAATCAGAGGATGACATCTTTTCAATTAAGGCCACCATCGAACTTCCCCGAATCATGCCTCTTTGGTAATTGCGCACATATTTCGAGGTTACGCATCGTGGGTGTGTCAGAAAGCTAGACGGGAGAATCACCGCGTCTTGAAAATTTGTTAGAAAGGCGCGTAAGGAATTGACAAACTGAATATTATAGCCCCTAATGCGAGGCAACAAGAACTATGTCATAAATGTGGCTTTCACAAGACAATAGAATGCTCAGTATGGAATGATACTATCAGAGATGTGTTAGTACTATAATTGTATCAGAGATACTTTTAGGTACAGTTCAAGATGTGGATTTTATTTAATTGTCTCGAACTCAAATTTTTGGCTGAGTGTCAAACTAGCCTTTTTTTTTTTAAACTGGCTTACCCATACCATAAAGTTTGCAATTCTGAGTGGAGTGAAACTGTAATTCTACTGTGCGTGTGTTCTGTGTAATTGTGGAGCACTCTTTTTAACAAGCATAATTGTTTGAACGGTTTACATTACAGGGGAATCAATTTTATCTATATAGATTTCATTGCGGGGCCAACATTTCCAAAGTTATTGAATAATTTTTTTGGGGAGCCTTCAATCTTTTCCCTGGCTCGGCAGGGGTACATAATTAGAATACTGCTACAATAATAGAGGAAAAGCATTCCACCAGCAAACTATTCCAGGAGCAAGTAGAAGAGTTAAAAAAAAAAAACAAAAATAAAACACCAAATCTGAATTAATCTGCTGTCACACAGGTGTCAACCCTCCACATCCTTTTGTGTTGCATGAAAAGATTGCCTCAGTTTTTTGTTGACTTTTGTTCAAAACTAGGCATGAAAATGAGAACTAAAAAGGCAAAGGCAATGATGTAATTTGATTGGGCGACATGGGACTTGAACGTGACACTCTGTCTCGCCATACTTTACAAAGAAATAGCAATGCATTTTGCGGCAGCATTAAAACAGGGAGATCAAGCTCAAGTAACCCAAAATACTTTTGTAGCATACAGACTGTGAAAAGTGTTTGTGTTGCACTCGTCTATATTGCGCCTTTCATGTTGCACTTTCCTGAAAAGAAAAGATTTGAATCGTTAATTTTTCATTTTAAATGTAATTAAATCTGTTACTGTTTAAAGGAAATGTGCATTTTGCTCCTTTACTGTGCTTTTGGTGTCTAGTTATAGCTAGCATGTACTCATTTATGTGGCTTCATCTTTATAACCAGCGCCCCTCAATGATCCAAACACGTTTGACATCTCAGATCTTTTGTCTTGTTATCATAACATACAAAGTGTTATTGAATTCACGCGGTATTGATCATGCGACTACATTAAGCAATTCCAGCATGATCATCGGCAAGACACAACAAATCAATCTTCAATATGAATGTCATCAGCTGCTCATTGATGAACACATTTTCTCAACATCAGCAGCAGTGGCATAGGTCTGTTACAACAACTGAGCCAAAGATGGAGGATGAAGAAGCTTTAAGCCTCGCTAGAGGGAACGGGAGCACGAGTGGAAAAAGTAGAAATTGTTCCAAAATGTCTGACTCAAGCGGCCCTATCGCCACGGTTTCAAGTCAGGAGACATCTAAAACAGTAAGAGAAGCGATAGAGGGGAAACAAAAAAGCAAAAGTCTTCGACAGATAATTAGAGTGACCAGAAATAGGAAGAAAGAGAAGAGAAAAAATGAGAAGAGGTGTTTGCAATACAGAATAAAGTGAACCAAAACATCTGGGCCAACAGATATCACAGAGGATCCGGTGACAACAACCAATAGAAAGCGTTCATCCTACCAGAATTCCGCTTGGAGATGTACTTGACGTCATCGCTGGCTCCTGAGGCAAGGAGGTCAAGGATGAGGAGGAGAAAGAGTGACATCTTCATCACTCTCCTCTCCACTGGGACCTTAAGATCAAACCAGATATAAATGTTGTTATACATAACATGTCAAGCACAATTCTGTGACAGATCCACCCACAAAAACAAGAAATTAACATTACAAAATCGCTAACACCCTTCTGACCATGGCCACCAGGCAAATCCCAGTAGATTTTATTTTGAATTATCTTTTATTCTATATTGCGATATGTATGCACTACCTGAATCTATTGAGGTCAAACATTACTTTTTTAAAGTTTTTGTTTAAGCCAATAGGTTTTGGTGGCTCCTCTTCACGCTCATTTTTTTTTCCAATGGCTGTCATTCACACGACATTGATGAAGCCGAAAGACAAACTTATTTGCAAGCCATTTCCCACAAACATCATGTGAACGATCCTTTTCACCAGTCACCATGACTAACACACGTTCATGTTGAGTAATTTGGTGGTTATTATGCAAGTCGAGCCATCAGTATTTACTGTGACATATGACGCTTCAATCAGTCATGTGAAATTAGCAGAACAATACAAGATCCAAAGTGCTATTTTGAAACAGTGGGATTGATGAAGGCGGACACAAGCTTAGGGTTTATGTTTGTATTTGACCCTCTGGTTATCTTATCTATCTATCTATCTATCTATCTATCTAGCTATCGATCGATCGATCGATCGATCGATCGATCGATCGATCGATTGATTGATTGATTGGGCGGGGGGGGGGCACGCTCAAGTGATGGTGAAATGAAGCTTCATGAACCATTGAAACTTATTCTATGGCCCCATCAAGTGGTCAATAAGACCAGGCAGTAAAATGTACAGAATGAATTAAAAGGCTAATATTGCAATTTTAGCAGTAGGTGTGTAGTACAAATATGACATACATAACAAATATAACATTGTATGTACAGTGTTTATGAGTAGAATTAAGTATGAAAACTGTCAAATCTATTATAGGGGCTGAACCCAGGACTGTAATTGGAGGGGCAGCACTCGATCAACTGCGCCAACTGACCATATGTTTATGCTAACATGCAACAATTCACTATACAGTACTTTTTGTGACATTTTTGTTTGGCTCTGTGGAGTGCAATTTCTTCCAATGCAAAACATGTTTCTTGACTCAATCAAGCTTTGGAAACACTACTATAGTGACATGATCACAGCAGCATATCACCAATGACTAACAGAGTCCAATTAGTTCTGGCTGAGTAAAGGTCAAAGCCATAGCACACAAACAACAACACATGGGGCTGTGTTTGGGCTTACAGTGAAGTGAGAAAAGCAGAGTGCGAGGCAAACAGATGAAGAATAAATGACAGCATGTGTTGCTGGATGCAGTGGCGTGCAAAGAGCGGAACTGTTGGGGCAGAGCCCCGAGCATCTAACTTTGTAAGGGCATCCAAACGAGGGTTAATGTTCATTCAAGCCGATAGTGGGAAAAAAAGTTCAATAGTCTCTGGACATAGTTCAGCAAAAAATACGCTCCAACCCGCGTCCTATGTTTCCACCGGCAGTTGACTGTCCAAACCTCCCATCCCCATTGATGATCAGTTTCCAACGGGCAGTTTCCAATGGGCATGGCCACCAGAGTCAGAAGCAACAAGGCAGTATGATCTTCATGGACAAACAATCTCTCAATGAAAGTATGTAAGATGCCATGTCCAAATTTGATCAATTTCAATTTTTTTAAAAAATACAAATCAATACCATTGGTCAGTCCCCATGTGAGTCTGTTGTTTTTACAAATTACTGACCAACCAAAAGTGTTACAAATGGCTCTACAAAGATGCTTTTTTTGGAGGGGGTGGGGGTTCCTGAAAACGAATTTTTTGGCGATGAGATTTAAGCCTGACAGTAGCACCTCTTCCATTATATGGATTAGAAGGTGTTGCTCACCATGTGAGAAATATTTTTGTACGAACAAAACATTTGCTCTATCCAAATACCCCAATGAATGATACTATTAATTACAGGGACAAGAAATTGAGTTCCATTAAATGGTTTGGAATGAGCCCTTTGTTGACCTTTAAACTGGCATGGAATGAAGGATTTCTTTGCTCTTTTCGGGTCAGAGCACTGGTTGTTGTCCAAGTCCTTTTCGGTCTTTGTCGTAAAAAAGGTTAAACTCATCAATCGGATCCATTGACCCAGTTTTCCCAGTTGCTCTACCGTGGTAAAAACACCACGACCAAAATTTTACTCGTTGTCTTTACAGTATTCAGGAAAATATGAGTGCTTTTTTTGTACAGTTTTGTGTTGTTTTGTTATATAAATGTTATCATGTCACTGGATGACAGTGTACGACTCATCATTGGGGTATGAGGCCATGGATTAACTGAACACTGTCATCCCATGGCACAAACGGCAACGCTGCCAGCTTGTCTAATTAACGATGGTCTCTCACGCATTGCTTCTTAGACCAACATACTGTACAACACCTCCTTTGGCATGCAAGTGGGGGGTTAAGCATCATTTGGATAACGCCTGAGTTCAGATTTTTCATGAGTAACAATAGGGAATTTTTCAGTCCTATTAAAAAAAAAAAAAAAAAGTTTCAGCACAATGGAAGTGGAAGCACACCTTAGATTACATCTTTGTGTATCCTTGTTAATCAAACCAAAACGTGAAGCTCTAGCTAGCACATCTTGCATGATGAGCTAAAGGGCCAAACAAAATATATATATTTTGTCTGTTTTATGCCCAGCTTATTTCTCGGGAACTGAAAGGACTCATGAGTTGCCCGATAGTTTTAATCTTATATTATGAGATGCAACACAATCGTTCTATATGCCAGTTTGAATGTTACCCACTTGTCAATAGGTTAATCAAATGTGCTTATAACCTCAGCTTGGACATCATGTCTGGTCTTAGACGCATTTTAGAAATTGCACCCTGCTGTAACAAACCAACTCATATATCAATTTGACAATGCTGCTGATAAAAATAATAAAGAATAATCATGATAAAATAATCTTTTGTTGTACCACGAGAAAACGCTGCCTCATTTTTGAAGAATACAGTATTCCTTTGTTTATTTTGGAGGTTACAGTATATTCCAATAAACATTTTTGTTTTCTTACCATTCATCCATACACCTGACATGCTTTTGTGTTGTCATACAGGTCATCTCATAACTAAACACAGCCCGCTGCATCTTAACCTATGTTTCCTCCACTACCACCCATCCATCTCTCACTCACATGCATGGGAATGGGGACACACACACACACACACACACACACACACACACACACACACACACACACACACACACACACACACACACACACACACACACACAGCAAGAGTCAGTGAAAAAGAGTGCAGGCCTATTCGAGCATTACAAACCTTTCATCCTTTATGTTGCTTTGCTCTAATAATAATATGCCAACACCCAAGCATGGGGAGATTTAACGGGGTCCAAGTGTGTGTAATGGACACAATACCTTGTATCACACAAACATTCAGATATAAATCATGGCCTTTGCTCGGTGCTTGCTTTTTGAGTTAGAATGTGTGTTTGGGAGGTCTATATTTCGATACAAATGCATATTATCATGAATCCCGGTGGACCAGCATAGTATACCGCTGGATCAGCACGAGAATGCTGTTGGACTAGCTTGGGATGTGGAACAGTATGGGTTACTGGTATAGCTGGTTTCCTGGCACAGTTCCCGTGTTGCTGGATGGGTCTGTTTGTGCAATTTTCGATATGTACCGTCAGAACTATTGAAAAATAAATGTGCCGGCCCTTTAAAATTAAGTTAATGGCATGAGTACTCCACCAGCTGGGGCACTTAAGCTATTAACTAAATGTTATATTTTGTCAATTCTGGCATCAATTTTGTCTGTAATACTTTTTGTTTTATTTAAGGAAGTAAGGCATGGGGGTTCACCCCCCCCCCCCCCCCCCCCCCCCCTCCCTCCCACCCACCTTCCCTTCCCACACACTGGATAGTGTTAACATGAACACTCATTCACATTAATATAAACACTCAATAGTGTCATTATTAGTGCAGTGTCAACACTACATTTTGTTGCTGTGACACACTTTTAGGTGTTAAACATTTAACACTTGCTTAAATGTTATGGTACTTAAGAAACTGGTAGTGCAGAAGCATATTGACACTTGTGTAAAATTAACAAAAGCATATCTGCAGTGTAAAAGTATCATGGGAAAGGTTAAAATTCACAAATTAATTACAATGTGGAGATTTAAACTGGTTTGATTCTGAATTAGACACTGAAGCAAACGTGCACACACGCGCGCACGCACACACACACACACACACACACACACACACACACACACACACACACACACACACACACATACACACGTGCAAGCACAGATAGCAAGCTATTCTGGTCTCAAATAGACCAATGCTAAGCCATTAGGGTGCATCAGCCACACATCCAATATTAAAGACACCCTCAAGCTCTTTTCTGTCACACTATCTTTTCTCTCCCAAACTGCATGAGTCATGCCGTTTTGGTTACCGAGGCAGTCTGTGTTTTACATGGCAGCATAAGCCGCCTTGTCATCATTATGAAAAATGTGATATCTGTCCTTTTAATCTCCTCATCAGGATGTGTAATTAGTTTGAATCTGGATTTATGTGCTGTACTCCAATTTAGGCTAGATATAAATTGTGCATTACACTGAGCCTGAGCAATGTCTAAAATCTGAGTACTTCCCTTTTGTTCTCTTGTATTCGTGTGCACACCATTATTTCTACACTTAGGATTTTCATTTTTATGTTTTCGATATTGCCAGTCATGTGGTACACTGTGTAGTCACAGTTGTGACAATGTAAACGTTCCAGTGTTCTTCCTCAGTTTAGGTCACTGGCACGTACTGTCCAACTCTGACTGAGTGGATTCAAGCAGAACAGTGTACACTCACAAATATTTAACCACAAAAAAAGTGCACGGCAGTTCAAGTAATGTACCGGTAATACAAAACCATCATTTGAATTATTCCTACAAATTATCATGGGATCCAATGGCGCTGTATTCTCTCTGC